GTTAAAATCAAGCTATTGAACATTGGAATTAACTCAAAAAATAATCCATTTTACAGAAACATACACGATGACGAGCCGTTCAGTGGGGATGAGACGAAGTGACAGGAATTTTCAACGATCACGTTGTTCTGTTGAGAAAATTGAGAAATTTAAAGATTTCAAGAATTTCATTAACACCCGCCCGCCTCCTCATCTGCTCATGAACTCGACACCCTCCGAGGATTCCAATTTCGAGAGCTATATAGAGGATCTGCCGATCTGCTGACAGGTCCTGGATGCCACAGGTCAGTCTTGGTGTTATGCACAACCGTCTTCCCGACCTTTCGATTGATAATATTGATTTTCCAAAGGGTATCCCTTCCACACAGAAATCAAGATTTATTAGGTCTTGGTATATAAAAGATATTTGTGAAATCAATATTCTTGGAAAACAATGAGAACTGGATTTGGAACGGAGGGCTCTCGAGGGGCGGTTTGCATAGATAAGAGCACACAACAGTGTAATATTACGCCTTGAACCTCTCCCGTTCAAAATGAGTCCAAGAGCCAATTAATCCGAAAGCAATAAAGCAGGTAAGGAAAAACAAGTTATGAAAAATTCATTTAAAAAAATAGTGCAGCTTCTTCATAAAATAAAAGGACCACAACGGCTTTACGGTCGAAGGCCTCGCAGAGTAAGGCTGAGCACCCGACTTCAAAAGAAAGAGGAAAGTTAAACACAAATATCCTCGTCTAAAATGGAGATATCGATCAAAATCGACTGATGCATTGATTGAAATCGATTGTCGTATCATTTAACAACATATTAAGACTCAGAGGGAAAGGATTCAAGATAAAACTGACAGAACAATGAGGGGTGAATAGTGGGCCAACAGAAAAAAATCGCCCGTTCTCTTTCTTTTTAACAATAGATTCAGTCTTTAAGTAGTAACCAGAGATTCAGTCATTTAGAACTAAAAGATGAAGGAAAAGGAATTTTTTGAAGAAGGAATCAACAAGACAACAGAACGGGCAGCGTTGCTCAGAGACACGCATAGTTAATCAGCAGTACCGAGGACTGTGAATAAGAGAGATACTTCATCATTTCTGACGGCAAGTAAATAAAAAAATTAACATAGCGTCGTTCATGGAACAGTGCCATTTCTGGGCGGCAAAAGGAGACGTTGAAAGCATGGGAATCGATTGAAACGACGCGATTCAGCGGTAAAGGCATGCCTTGCATATTTTAAGTTTTTTTCAACGATGAAGAGCTGTAAAAAAAACTATGCCTATCAGACCTATGACTCATCAGCAACGATGAGTAACCATGGACCAAAAGCGATGAAATATCGATCGGTCGACGGAGGACTCGTGATAACCTATTGAACTGAAGCAGCTTTCCACCCACACGGCACTCTCCAAGCGCATTTTCAATTCCCAACTATCCAATCAATATCACAAAGTTTTCCTTCAGTTATTGCTTTTTACATTGTTTTCGTAAACCGCTAGAAGTGATGAATTACAAATTATACAACTTTGTTAGCGTTTACTAGTAACTTCTATCATCTCTCAAAAAGCATTGGTCAAACCGAAATAGTGGTCTTCATATTCTCCAAAAATCGATTTTTGCCTTGCCAATACCGTGATCTTTTTCAGAAGCAGTTTTTTGTTTTTTTTTTTAATTAAAATTCCCCTAGTTTTACCAGTAAGTTCAACTAGTTGCAATTTCTAGTTAATTACATTTGATACGGAATTCGTCTTAAATACACCCAGTAGAATCAGTTAGTAACACAATGTAAGGCTTGTATAACCATATAGTAAAAGTAACGTTCCAAATTTTCCGGGAATTTTCTCGAAAATTCCGAAAGCGCGCAGAAATTACACCAAGTAGTTGTCTAGTCAGCAGAATACATTAATTTCATCAAATTTTAGCTCAAATAGATCAGCAGAACATGAACTTTTCAACAGAAACAATCGGAAAAGTAATTGGAAACGATTTGTACGTGTTTTGAAGGAAAACGACGATGGCAGCCACAAAAATTGCGGTTGCTGTCGACCGCCGACGACGACGAGAACACGAACAAACCGATCGATACGTGAAGCTAGTCGTCGCCGCCATCATGGCAGTGACGAACCGGAGAACAGAAAAAAACCTAACGTCCACCTAATATTTGGCAGTAATTACTATAATTGTATAAACCATATAAATCATAAACTTCCTTTGTTTATGGTGTCCGGAACTGATTACCTACTTTACAATGCAGAAACTGTTTTAAAGCGATTTTCCCTAGCAGCAGCTCATAAGCAGTTTTACGTCCTACTCTTATATAGGTGTAACTCCAAATAAGACTACACATTTCCCTTATAAGCCTCCCTTTTACATAGTGAACTTTATTGGATTCATTTTGATAAATTACTGGTATAGAGCACATGTCACAGTGTTATTTATCATTGTTAACGGCTTAAAATTGATAAGATAATTAACAGAATGATGACAAGTTATGTTTTTTTTTCGTTTCGCAATAACCACTTTTCATTTCAAAGGTTTGAATTCCCGCGATAAGCTATCGCACTGAATAATTATTGACTTACTGCTTATGGGGAAGGTCTGGCCTCATTACTTGTCCAAAGATTAGTTGTCTTAGCACATTTCATTAAGTATGACAAGAGAAAAACTTGGCTTGGATTAAAAGTCCTACCGTAATTCCACATTCATACTTCCGTGACGCAACTAATACATGTTATTTTACGGTGTTTCGCGACCATTTGCAGCAAAATTACGCTAAAAATTCGGGTTTGTACTGGATTTTCATTGTTTTTGAATTATTCAGTTGTTTCTAGCCTTCGGAGATATCGAAGCGGCCGTTTTCATGTGTTCGAAAGGGCGAGATCCTCTTATTTCAAGTCGACGAACATGATTAGCATCTTCGATGAGATACCTATCTTTCCGATCTCCGTGTTCATTCACAATTCTTCAGTTTTCTGACACGTTCATTTGCTTGATTTATAGCTAATTACCAGTTATAGACTACCATTTCGGCTGCTTGATTGAATGGATCGAACTTGAGTGGGAAACAAGGTCTAGTGCCCATCTATACTTGATGTTTTGCTCCATGTGCCAGTCCATCAGATTCAGATGTTCCTTTTTCTTTTTCCCCTGTGCATACTTTTTCATATCCCGGACTAAATGACGTCTTTCATGGAAAATGTGGCTATCGATCTCCCATGTTTGCACATTCGTCATTGCACATTGCCATGTCGTTTGATGAATGAATACTTCGTTCAGTTTTTATTATTTAATAAAAAGACCTACTGAAATTACAGGATTCGGGCCAGCTACTTCTATGAGAGCTTCTTTCTCTTGTAACTCAGGTAATTATTACTTTTTACTAGCTAGGTTTTTTTATTTTACTTCTAAGAGTAATCTATGAGAAATTATTGATCCAAAGTACTGCGAAATAAAGCCATGAATTCAGAATCCGAGGGCGATTTCACTGACGAAAACGTCGGCCTCATCAGTAAAACGAAGAAAAAGGGCAAGATTGTGAGTCATCCATATTATTCTTCTCGTTTTGCTGAAAATAGCTGGCTTTCAAAAGGATTGAGCGTTGATTTGATCCGTTTTCATATAATTTGTTATTGTCATGGCTTGTTTATGGATGATTTGAATGGTTTCCCCCGGATTTTTATTGGCGATACCCCATTTTTCTCACTCGTTGGATTGTTACATACTGATGAAATGGTGTTGGTTTCAGTGGTTACTAGTTTTTGTTGGGTTTCAGCTGCACAGCTATGGCCTAGGCTCCAAACAGACGTTTACGAATTCCTGTTGATCAACACATCAAAGAAATTGGCTGTTTGACTTTATTGAATTTTTTGGATTGCCATTCTTTCCGAAGAGGGGGGGGGGCGTGCTGCGATGATGTTCAGCAGTGGTGGGCACATGTTTCTATTTATTCAGAATGTTGCTGGACGAAATGTTGTAGTATTGATTCATTTTCGTATTTTTCGGAAGCATACGGTGTTTAACCCATCAAATCTGTACGTGTTATTTTCTACTAAACGTGATATCCCATGATTCGTCATTACAATTTAAACTTTGAGAGTAATGGTCGTTCCGCGCTGTAGTTTTTTGATCGGGGCTTTTGATTGGATGAGATCGAGCTTTATCCGTCTATACCAGTTTACGAGACCAAAGTAAATCGAACTAGTTCTGGTGTGTGTGAATGCTCTCTCAAATACTATGCCTCTTTCGCAACTCTCTTAATACGAGTATCGAATTTCGCAAGAAATGAGTCCAGCTATGTCCCGTCATCATTTTCTGGAATTTCCCCATAACAGCTACTATTTAATATTTCAGTTGGAACGAACTCCTCTATTACATCGCCCAATGTCATCAGCTGACCCAGTTACTGTCGAATTCGGTCGTCGACTTGAGCGTGAAAGTGAAGAGCATCATGCTTCTAGCGATGATGAGGGAACTAATACTGGTACTCAAGTTTTCTTTCGAGTATTTGTTTTTGTACAGTTTTATTTTACTTCTTTGTGATTGTGATTTACCCCTACTAGAGTAGCCGGACGTAGTTATAGTTCATCAAGCTTTTTTCTTGGTTTTTTGCCCCAAATGGTACTGTTTCGCAGAAACCGTACGGTTGGGCCGGTCGAGGTTGAGATTTTATTGTTTTGTGAATGGGTTCCGCTCAAAGGTGGTGGTTTTCGCAGTTTTTAATCAAAATTATGGACTATGAATGTCGAACGTCCCTAGAGCGTGATCATAGGAAATCCAAGCACGCTACCCATCATCTCGGGTACTGGGTAACGTGGGACCTGTGACCGCAAACTAGGAAAGTACAATTATTAGTTCACAGAACTTGTTAATGGAACCCATGAATGACTCAACAACGATCTCAGAAAGTTACTTCGATATGAGCCGGGCTTTATAAGCTTCACATAAGAATGTTTTCATTAATAATAGTTTACTTGCTTCCAACTTAGGTGCCATCGAGCTCACCGCATGGGTATCCGAAAATGAGAATTTGCCAAAGGAAACTTTGAGTGATCCATGCAGTGAACAGAGTACCAAAGTTGAGCCGTATTTCAGAAATTTTTTGATTTTGTTTGAAGATAGGCGAAGGCTAGAAAGACTCTGATAACCCTGCTTCAACATCTCTCTTTGAGTTTTTGAATTTTGCCCACTGTCCTCGGAATGCTCACTTAAACTTTCCCCCTGCATGCTTACAAATTTATATTAATTTTTGTTAATTCATAGTTTTTAGGAGAACAATATGGTAGTACTACGGGTGCCGACTTCAAAGCAGTTGTGGATGAAGCAATACGTGCTATACATAACGGAGTTTTTCCTGAACGTATTGCACAAGGCTCAAGCGGTTCATACTTTGTCAAGAACATGCAAGGGGTAGGTTATAAATTCTTTAAATGTTTTTTTTCCTTCCTTGACCGTTTTTTCTTTCTACATAGTTTTACACAAAATATTATTGTTTAGTGCGATACGTTTTTTCTCAATATGAGTCCCTGGTTGTTCTTTGTTTTACTTTTTCCTCCATCATGTATGCCAAATACATACCTAAGAAGGAATGTGCAAAGAGGACCTGTGATTGGTCCTTGCTAGAGGTCCGCCAATAGTAATCGAGCGTGGGTGCCTTAGTGAACTCTCACCTTTCCAATGTGTGTTCGAAGATAAAGTCCAAGAGGGAACTTTTGGATGGAAAGGCGTGGAGCTTTTTTAACTGCAATCGGCCACGATATTGTAATTTTAGGTTTTATTTATGTTGCACTTTTTGGAACAAGAGCGATTTATTTAAAATAGCCTTTGACATCCTTTGAAATATTTTTTTTTGGAGACTACAGTGGTAGCAGTCAGTTTTATTTCGGTTTACTTCAGAAAATCATTGGTGTCTTCAAACCGAAAAACGAAGAACCGTATGGTCATTTGAATCCGAAATGGTTGAAATGGTTTCATAAGATATTTCTGCCATGTTGTTTTGGAAGGAGTTGTCTTGTCCCCAATCAGGTTGGTTCGATTGATTTCTTAGAAAAAATACGTGGTAAAGATTTCAGCGTGAGGTTGATTCATTTCCGTGCAGGTTAGTTTGTATTCCTTTATCAGTTGATTTTTTTTATCAATGCTCGCTCGTTCTCGTTCCTTTTTGTTACATCTTACCGGTTTTCGTACGAGTATCGTTTGTTCCATTCAAGTGATTCATTAATGTTGAAGTTCGTCGTGAATGTTTTACTCTTGCAGCTTCCTTTTACTGTGTTTTCTCATTATCGACTTAATGCACAGGATTTACAGCGCTTTTGTCCTGCGGTTCTGTTCTAGAAAGGTTTTGCGCACAGCATAGGAATAGTTAAACCTTGGCAAAGGAGTTGCCTGTTTTTCGGCTCGGTGATGGAAAAAATGGCGAGGAGTCAGGGATTCCCGTCCTGGTTAAAAGGTAAGTATTTGGTTAACCATATATACAGGTTACTGCTTATACCTCTCTTATCTTTTCCCTTCTTTTCATACATTCTGTTGTGGTTACTTTGCTACGATGGGGAGGTAATTTGAGTATCTGTCCACTTGGTCACTACTGGACCTCCCAAAAGAATCTCAAGAGCTGTCATCCTCCACTAGATAGTAGAGAACTTTAAAAAGGGATCCATTAGGCTTATTGAGTACATAAAAGACCCACTTACCGATCTGTTGCGTCTAAGACGAAATTATCACTTTTAAACTCATTTTGAGCAAGGAATTAAAGTGCTGAAGTTCGAACGTGTCATTTCTGACCCTCTTTGGGTGTTTTAATCGTTTTCAAATGGATCTTTGGATAAATTAATTTTTTGGGTTAATTGTTATGCAAATCACAGGTGGCATTCATGTTTGGCCGAAGTATTTTTTGTTTCAGCCCCTTGCATTTTTCATCAGGCGCTACCACTTTGCTTCGTTGGAGAACACGAATTCAACATTCATGAGCTTGGATGTTGCAGTTGCCAACGGCCACTTGATTGAATGTGGAGGACTTCTCGGGTATGTTGCTGTGTAAATCAGTGGTAGACAGTTATGATTATGGCAATCGACGCCACTTTCCCGTTTTCCTCGATTAATTAGTTTCCTCGATTTTACTTGAATATCATATTTGTTGTCAAGTTTGTTTTTCTCTTCTGTGCAAAAAATCATAACCTATCGTCCCGTTGATCATCGACTTCACTGAGTGAGCGACAGTACCGTCTCCATTCGCCCCTGTCGCGAGCCACAGAGGACCAAAAACATCATGTTCTTCGATAGTTTTGCTTTTTGTTTCGTTTTCATTGGATGTGTCAAGTCTTTGAGTAACAATCAAAGTTTCGAAGAAAAGATCCTGAAATGGCGGCAAGTTATACTTTTTGTACCGTTATTCTTTGCAACATTAGCCTTGCGGCATCCAGCGAACGTCCTTGCATTGATTTCAGGTGAGCTGTATGAGCTAATTGGTAGTCTTGGGGAACTGGGACCCGTTCGAGTTTTACTCCAATATCAAAATGAAAGCAATTTTGCTTGAAATCTCCATGTGAACTGATATGAATTCTGCTGCTTTCGGATTTTTCGTGGCTTGGTTCGGATGTGAGACATGTAACCTTCATTATTAGGTGAGTAAGCATGTCGGGCCAATTGGCCATGAGGGTATGCTAACTACCCAACAAATATGTCGCATACGAGAGTGGCAAATTTGCGCAGCAATCGTGTTGAAATAGCGTCCCCATGTCGCAAAAGATGAAAAAACCAGTGTACGGTAGGGTTTAGATGTGTTATACATTTGTATAAGTTAGTTACTTCCACAACGACCTAGTTTCCTAGGACCATATTTTTTATGTAGGAGGTGACTGGTTCCATAAATTGAATGAAAAGCTACTGTTGTTCGGAACTCTGGGATATTGTGGTCTTGATACTCTGTAAGGGCGACGTACGTCTCCTTGAGTTTTTATGGTCCTTTTCTATCATATGTTTCTATCATTTGTCTTTTTAATTGCCATATTTTGTTCAGAGATGTATACATAGTTATGGTTAGAGATCATTTGCTTTGCTTAAAATCAATATGTACTTATTCCTTGCGCGTCCAGTGGCTCATGTCTCTGACAAGAAACAAAGTTGTGTTTAGGTGAAGGTGCTCGGAAGAGGTGTTACCAAAAATACTGAGATTTTCGGAGGACTAAGGGCTCGATTATTCGGTTTCATTTGAAAGCTTCTGTTGGAATGGATGGTTTGCATTGGGTAGCCATTAGAACTTGTCGAGTGAACCACTTTTCAACTTAACTTTTAACTTTTTATCCATCCAAACGAGTTCAGCGTCAACCGTTGTAAAGTGCTGTCTTGGGTATTCAAACCGAAAAGGATTCAAGTCGATATGGCCCACGGGTTATTAGCGAGGTAGGGGTACCACCTGCCACCGTTCCACTTCCATCCGAGCAGAATATTTCATATGAAAATTACTGTCCACGTTGGTGGACAGTAATTTTCATATGGACAGTGGTTGGTGTGATTGTGTGTTCCAGCGTGAGTGGCATACCCTACTCCGAGTTGCTGTAGTTTGGTTTTGCATTATTCACGATTGTTTAGAAATTTTCAAACGCATACATTCAATGTAAACAGGAGCTCTTAGTCATTTTTAGTTCTTTTTTTTTCGCCGGCAATGGAAAACAACCTCCTTCGAGTGTTTGTTAAAAACTTTTGATAAGAAGTTATTTGATTTTTCCCAACATATGTTTACGTACGTGTTTACGACGTTTGATGGCTCGCAGTGGTTGGGTTCATCCTCAATGGTCGGTATTCGATGGTTCGTGGGCGACCTCTTTTGTAAAGGCGAATAAAGCGTCCCGAACGATCAAAACCTTCAGAAGAGTTTTTGTAGGGGATGTAGAATATAATAATCCTCCGTAATTCCAATTTGAAAGCCTGCCCAGAACGCCATTCCGAGCAAAGTTGTCACGTTTTTCGCAATATCCGGTAGTAGTCCCTTTTCCTGCCTTTCAGTTTCAATAGGCTCGGGATGACGTTGCACCCAGAGGTATAAACTTTTATAAAACTTTCATAAACAATTAGCCTTTAAGCAGTGTTGTGATTTAAATCTGCATACCGTAGTTCCCTGTTTGTGTTGGAGCGCGATAACATCGGACAGTTGAGAATATTCGCTTGAATTTTTTTAAGTTTCATTGTTGAATTTGAAGAGTCATTTTAAGTGGAAATGTTTCTCTTATCATGATTTTGGATAAGGAAAATGTTATTTGGGGTGAAACTTGTCACTTGGCGTTTTTATAGTTGAGTATCGAATTATGTAGCGAAAAAAAGCCTTTTTTGATTTAGAATGGTAGAAAAGCCATCATTGTTGAGCGCTACCATAACTAAATGGGACTTCTATCACAAAAAANGGAGATTTATAAGATTTTAGGGGTCACTACAAGCTACAGTTATAGTTAAATCAGGGTTATTGGAGTACTTGTATGAAATATACAGTATGATGTGAATGTATGGTGAGGAAGCCTTTGTCTGAGCCTTATGTAGACGGCATTTTAAAAGCCATCAATTTTTACAATTTTTTTTCAGCGACTCACTGTATTAACTGTTTTCGCTCGATGGCTTTCCTCTAGAGACTGCACCTCATTACCCATCTATGTACCCTTTCACTTTAATTATCCCTAACTCATAATTAATATTCTACTCCAGGAGGTGCAGAATCTCAAAAACCAAATGTTCTCTAATAAACTGTGAAAAGTGGTAGTTTGCAACAATAGTGATTCCGAAATGAGAGCTGATTTTTACTAGTTAGTTCAAGGTAGGTTTTGCACATGGGAAATGTGAAACCATCGGGTTTGGTGCGTTATTTTCATTAATTCCCGTTGAGTGTATTTTTCGAAGGATGTTCAGTATGAGAGTGCCCAATTTGAACTCGGAAGGTGACGTCGCGAAAAGATACCTCACCTCACCTTACCTCATAGGTCAGCATATAATGTGGACGCAATCGGATCTGGGAGGAATGGTCTTTTGGGAAAAGTATAAGTAGGAGGTTGAGGGAAAGTAAGCACATAATGCATGCCTTCAAGGAATTTCGGGCTTCCCTAATAGTTGTCAGATCGTGGGTCTTGCTCCATCATAGGACCGTCGAGTCTGCGGAAAGCAGCGTTTCCTCATCTCACCTGTTCGTATAGGAGGGCATATGATGTGGAAAAAAGTAGATGCGGTACTTTTGAAGAAATCTGAGTAGGAGATTGAGATAGAGAAGATAGATTCATGTACAGCAAAGCAATGTACAGCAAAACACCATAGGAAGCTTATACCTTGAAGCCAAAGAACGGACGGTCAAATAGATATTTGACGTTTAGAAAACTTGACCTGGTGGTATGGAATCAGAAATAATTTTCGCGACAACCTAATATTTTCGAATTTCCAGTAATCTTGCTAGGAACTTTAAGTCCGGCTTAGATGCTTGCACAAGTAATGATGACTTCTATACAGAGGTAGACTTAACACTGGGGTGCCATTGCCATGCTCTAAAGGAGGGTCTGAAAATTCGAACCAAAGTGATCGTCACCAAATGGCTCTAGTGGGTTGCTCCTGGAAGATCGAATTCATTGAGTAGTTGCTGAAGACCGCTTTAGTTTCCGACCTATCTTCTAGACTATGCTCTATGTTGAAATACCAAGTCACACCTGACTGTTTTTGCTGTCCTTCAATAATATTTTCTAAAATGAGTTCTGGAAATCGAGGGGAATCCTCGCGCCATGTTATACTTTCGCCGAGCTCACTCGTGCGTACTTGCTTAGGTCAGGTAGCACCGCCAAAACTAGGTCACCTTATGCGTTAACTTTGGAGGTGGTCTCAAGATCTCTGCGAACGATGACGTGGTTCAATGCTGACACCTTTGTGCCATGCATCCGTTCGTGGCCAAGCCTATGGACCCTGTGACGAAGTGTATTCCGCTAAGGTGAATGGGCGAGAAAGGCAGTCTATAGCAGCCTCCAGAAGAAGAAACATCTTCTCTGAAAGATTAGAGCATATTTTTGAACTGACCCTTTATTGGGATAGCACGACTAACTTTAGAGCTTCGTGTCATGTCTACAGTCTGGTGTGGGTTAGTCAGACGTAACTTTCAATAAGTCATATCTGTCCTTTGGAATGAATAGCAACTGAGGATTGCAAAGTCTGACCCCCAGTACTCGAAGGTATAACTGCAGGAAAACAGCAACGTCTCTGTAAACTTGTTTATGCATTACCGAACGAAACACTTTCACGTGGCTTTATAAATGAATAGCGGAAAAGATATCGCTGTGTAATACATGTCGATTGCAAGTTTTTTTGGTATTTTGCACCTTCGAGCGGCCCTGTGATGTTTTAGTTTAGTGCTTTTTTCATGTAATGAAGGGATGGGCGTCGCCTTTTCACAGTCTTTTACACTTATCGACTGGATGGCTTTGTTCTTACCGTTGGAACTTTAAATTCCATGGTTGGAATCGTGAAGAGATACAAAGAAGCATTTAAGATATAGTTTTTCGTCGTTTTGACCCTACATTTACCCTGAAAGAAGGTATTTGTAAATGGAGTCCGTCTAACGGCAACGAGAGCTGCTTCCATTTGGTAGCTCAGTGATTATTGTTCGGTAAGATTATGGAAGTTCCCATCAGCCTGAGCTACCCGGGTCTACTAGATTTACTTGTAACTTTAAAATATTGGGCTAAAAAGTAGGCGTTGGATTCTCGTTCTGGTTTTTGCGCTTGTTATACATCAGCGCTTGTTATACATCATACATATACGTCTGTTTATACATCCTCTGGTACATTTTCGATAGGCCGATAAAAAGGCTGTGAACAAAAAAAGGATATTAAGGCAGGATCAAAGTTCATCCGGCTAGGTGTTTACCGATAGGATATTATGGTCCTTCCCGCTTTGACGAACGCCTTTAGGAATTAGACTACGGAAGCAGGGCGCATTGGGAAGGTCTAGGCTCGAAATTTCCCTATACATGCTACAGAAGGGATTTCCCTATACATGCTACAGAAGGGAGTCTGAAGGCCCGAGCTCTGTCAACGAACGAAGACCAGGAATGCCGTTGTTTACGCCAAGGAGTCGAAGATCGGGAAGACCCGACACGTTATGCGATATCGTGATAACCATTAGACCAGGGTGGCTGCTGACTGGATTTCTCGGGACGGCAAACGAACGCTAGGACGGTCGTCAGCGAGACGATCAGAACTCGTCATGAAAGCATTGAATTAGAAGTGAGGTGTCGATACGCGAATATGACCTAAAGAGTGATTTACACTGGCCAGACGATGTAGAAATTAGTGCTTTTATCTGCCAGATGCGAGTA